ACAGTAACAAAGACTTGTCACATCATTATCAGTCCTGAAGCATCACTATTATTCTCAGCCTCAGGATAAGGAAATTAATTTTTTATCAAATATTAACTTATCAGAGATCAAGCATCCTGAATTTGGGCACCAAACTTTTTGTGAGCCTAACTGTTCCAAGCTTTCTGTTGATGTGATATATCTACTATGGCTTCATACAGGGTACCTGCTTCTCCTCAGTCAACTTCTAAGTCTCATGAATGCTAAGTCTCAGGGCCCCAAGAAAGAAATGATAATGCTAAATACTGTAGACTGGTCCAGGATGAACCATCAGTTGCAATCCAGGATGGTTTTCTCATTTATTTTTTGTTTTAATGTTCACACTAAAATATCACAGTCAAGTTTGAAGATCAAATACACTAGAGACAAACTGAAATAGAAAATTAACCTACTCATTAAAGTGTATCTAATCTTGGAAGAAACCAAGTCCAGGATACTGAGAATGACTAAGTAGGTTTCACTACAAATGATTATGACATTAACTGTCAGAAGAATGGAATTCAAAAAAACACCATTTAATATCATTTAAGTCCTGAAATAAAGCTCTGCTTTCTAAACATATCACCTGAAATAGTAATGGACTCATTCTTTAACTTTGTTCTCTTAAAGTAAAAAGATATAGATCAGTAATTATATTAACTCTCTCATGAAGCATCTGTAGTTGTAATGACCCACAATAAATAACCAAGAAATCCTCAGGTGGGGCTGGAGCATTCAATTTACTTCTCCCCATAACGCTTCACCAAAAAACCATGTCACTAGCCACATAACTGCAATACTGTCGACACTCAGGATTTACTGAAATCCAATGTCAGTGGCCAATAGTCCTTTTTAAACATTAACCTCTTCCTTCTTCAAAATCATATCAAAAGAAAACGGAAGTTCCTCATTCCTCTCCTTTCTGTTGAATTGTAATTAGAATAATACAGGCTATATGTCCTTCCGTCTATTTTCTCTCTCTAGTCAAGAGAGTAAATTATGATGTAGAAGCTCCTTATTTTGTTTTTAAGTTTTTTGTAAAGATGTGGTCTTGCTATGTTGCCCACAGTGGCTTCAAACTCTTCGCCTCAAGTAATCCTCCCACCTGGGCCTCCCAAAGTGCTAGGATTACAGGCATGTATCACTGCACCCAGTCTGTTTTTGTTTGTTTGTTTGTTTTTTGAGACAGGGTCTCATTCTGTTGCACAGGTTGGAGTGCAGTGGCATGATTACAGCTCACTGCAGCCTCAATCTCCCATACTCAAGCAATCCTTTCACCTCAGCCTCCTGAGTTAGCTGGGAATACATACAGGCACCACCATGTAAGACTATTTTTTAATTTTGCAGAGATGGGCCATCACGACGCTGTCCAGGCTGGTGCTGAACTCCTGGACTCAAGAGATCCTTCTGCCTCTGCCTCCCAAAGCACTGGATTATAGGCATGAGCTATGGTGCCCCGCCTGAAAGCTAATTTAAAACATCCTCAGTACTTAGAGCAAATATTAGATGTTAAGAGTGAGGTACAGGCTGGGGGACACGGTGGCCCACACCTCTAATCCCAGCAATTTGGGAGGCTGAGGCAGGTGGATTACTTGAGGTCAGGAGTTTGAGACCAGCCTGACCAATATGGTAAAACCCTGTCTCTACTAAGAATACAAAAATTAGCTGGGTGTGGTGGCATGCGCCTGTTGTCCCAGCTACTCGGGAGGCTGAGACAGGAGAATTGCTTGAACCTGGGAGGCAGAGGTTGAAGTGAGCCAAGATCGTGCCACTGTACTCCAGCCTGGGCAAAAGAGTGATGTACAGTAGACAAGAGGGGTGAGCACCCCTGGGATGTGATTTGACAACTGGCCAGCAGCAAATTGGGCTCAGCTGATGGTGAGAGAATAAGAAAGTGGAACTGACCCAAGCAGCTGGTTTTTAGGAGTCTCCCAGTAATATTCAACAGACCTAAAAAAGAAACAGGAGGCTATGAGGGGATACCTGAGCCTGCAAGGAAGGCCCAGGCATCACTGCAAGTGCATCGTTGAAATGGTTACCCAGGAGTTCCAGGCTTGACAAAACACCAGTGAGTGGGGAGGATTCATAACTGTGAGAACACAGGGGACTCAGAAGCCTGGGGGTGGTGGAGAGGAGGAAGGTTCAGAATGTATAAAGCGTTACTGCAGGTAGGAGGATGAGCTCACACACAGCAGTTCACCCCATCACTGGTTTCGCTTTCTTCATTCTGAGTTACCTACAGTCAACTACAGTCTGAAAATAGGTGTGTACAATACCACAACATATTCTGGGAGAGACCATATTCATATAATTTTTATTACAGTATGCTATATTATATTTTATTATTGTTGTTAATCTCTTACTGTGTCTAATTTATAAATTAAACTGTATCACAGGTATGTATAGAAAAAACATAGTATATACATATAGGGATCAGTACCATCTGAGGTTTCTGGCATCCACTGGGGCTCTTAGAAGGATAAGCGGGAGACTACTACATATGGAGACATTTAGCATAGGGTAGGCACCAAATCACTGTTTGCGGAATCTGAAGTCTGTGGATACCTAGGGGAATTTCTGAGTTGATGATACCACAGGTGGCGTGGAAACAAGTCCCAGCATAAACCTACACTGCTGGCTGAATGAAGTTCAAGTGAAGGTCATGCAGCATCAAAGTAGATGTGTGTGTGTCACTGAAACTTATGGCAGTAGAGTGATAATAATTTTGAAATTAGTTGGATTGTGAGAAAATTTGGTTGATATAAGAGGTCAGTTTGGAGTTCCATTCAAAATTCATACTAATTTTAATGTCACGGTATTCTACACTACTAGATGGGTAAGGGGAAATTATAGGATTCAGAACAATACCATTAAAAATTAGGATAGGATTTTCTACTGTATGTCACAGAAGAATCAGAGGTAGCAAATTCATAAAAAGAAATTGTGATTCCCCAAGCAAGCCCAGGGTGAAAACCCAGAGTGCTGACGTTTTGAATCCTAACATCTCAGTTGCCACTTTGCATCTTCACAGCGCTGAATAAAAGGTGTGTACCAGGAACTGTCTACCCACAAAGAACCTGTCTTAACCTGTTTTACTGGGCCTTCAAAAAAAAAAAAAAAAAAAAAAAGGCAGATGCGGAGATGGTATTATAAAACAAAAGCATAAAAGGAAATTTGTGAGGGTGGCTTAATGAGATGCATTCAACAGGTGGAGAACCAGGGGGAGTGTGGCTAGGTACACAGTGGACTTTGTTAGATTAGCAGCAGCTCTGGTTCACTTTCCAAGATCTTTCCTAATCCACAGAGGCACAGGTGGAGCGGAGGTGGGGACACTACTAGTCAAGAGCTCAGTGGGAGTTTAAATCACTAAGGATTTGTGTATATAAGTTCTCCCTGGCTTACACTTAATATGGTCATGATAACTGAATTTCAACTGTGCAAAAGGAAAGAAAATACTTACAATACTTCAAACATGACTGTAATGAGGATATACTACAAACTCAAAATGAACATTTTATAATAAGCTCTGGGAGTTCAAGGAAAGATGATGGCAGAAAGTGCTTCTGGAATGGTCTAGCACTGGAATTTTATGCAAGTAAGCCATTGCAGACTCTCCAAGCCAATGTCCTAGCCGAAAACAAACAAGTCATCCCTACCTGAAGGCTAGTGGACAAAGGTCATTAAGACAAAAGTCACTGTCATTATCCAGGCAGGGTGATGACTGATCTGGTATCTCCAGGCCTTTGCTAGATTCAGAGCAAAGTCCTGGACCCTGGAATGTTCAAAAGCCTAGACAGATTGCCTCCCCAGCTGTGCTGCATCATTCTCCGGCCGGCAGAGCTAGTGTGTTGCCTTCAATCAGTTATCTCATGAGGAACCAGATTTGGGCTTCTGCCATCTGGCTTAGCACCCATGGACTAAGAGGTCTTGAATCAGCACCTAGAAATAATTTCCTTCAAGTTCTACAGAACAGCTCAATGGAAAAAGAGAACTGTTTCAGTGGAAAAACTAAATACCGAAGTGTCTAAGACTATTATGAATGTAAAAAATTGTTGGATGTATTCTTGTCAAGTTTTTATCTAGGTTGTGATATCTGTTCATGTAATGAAGATTTAGGAAATCTCAACAAGGCATACCTCAGAATACTGCTGGTTTATTTCCAGACCACCCCAATAAAGCAAATATTGCAATAAAGCAAATCACACAAAATTTTTGGTTTCACAGTGCATGCAAAGTTATGTTTTCATTACACTGTAGCCTATTAAGAGTACAACAACACCATGTCCTAAAACAATGTACATAACTTCATTAAAAAATACTTGATTGCTTAAAAATGCGAACAATCATCGGAGCCTTTAGTGAGTTGTCCTCTTTTTGCTGGTGGAGGGTCTTGCTTCCACGTTGATGGTTGCTGACTGATAAAGATGGTGGTCACTGAAGGTTGGGGTGCTGTGGCAATTTCTTTCTTTCTTTTTTTTTTTTTTTTTGAGAAGGGGTCTCACTGTGTTGCCCAGGTTGCAGGGCAGTGGCATAACCACAAGTTACCGCAGTCTTGACCTCTCAGGCTCAAGTGATCCTTCTGCCTCAGCCTCTCAAGTTGCTAGGACTACAGGCTAGTGATACGACACCCAGCTAGCTTTTGTTGTTGTTGTTTTTTGGTAGAGGCAGGGTCTCACTATATTGCCCAGGCTGGGTCTCAAATTCCTGGGATCAAGTGATCCTCCTGCCTCGGTCTCTCAAAGCACTGGGATTATGAGTGTGAGCCACTGCACCCAGCTGCAATTTCTTAAAATAAGACAGCAATGAAATTTGCCAAGGCTGTGAACTCTTCCTTTCATGAAAGATTTATTTCTCTGTTGTATGAGGTGTTGTTTGATAGCATTTCATCTACAGAACTTCTTTAAAAAATGGACTCTATCTTCTCAAACCCTGGTGCTGCTTTATCAACTAAGTTTATGTAATATTCCAAATCCTTTGCTGTCATTTCAACAACGTTCACGGCATCTTCACCATGAATAGATTCCATCTTAAGAAACCACTTACTTTGTTCATCCATAAGAAGAAACTCATCTGTTCAAGTTTTATAATGGAATTGCAGCAATTCAGTCACACCTTCAGGCTCTATTTCTAATTCTAGTTCTCTGCCATTTCCGGCACATCTGCAGTTACTTCCTCTACTGAAGTCTTAAACCCCTCAAAGTCATTGGTGAAGGTTGGAATCAATGCTTCCAAACTCCTGTTAATGTTGATATTTTGAGTTTTGTATGGTAGACGCACCTGACAGTGACAATGTGACTTGAGTTTACCTGAGAATGACCCTGTATGGCAGAGGCACCTGAATGTGTATTCAGAAGTATGAGCTAAGGAATCCAGAAGTGGTCAACTCAGAGACCCATTCCTTGTCTATGACAACTGAGCCCCAGACACATCCTGTGGAACATGGGCCACATAGGGGATCAAGGCTCATTGTTTTGGGTTAAATGAGGTTTGCCAGGTGGAGATTGCTAGGCGGAGTGTGTTAAGTAAAAATGTTATTTAAATTGCATTCGTTCTGCAAATGGTGGTGGTGCTTTTGCCCAGCCTGCCACCACTGGACTCTCTCATCCGTGTGTAAGTTCCCGGTAAAACCTATGTCTCATTCGCTGGCTCTGGGTCTCTTCTTCAGCCTCTTGAACCTGGTGCCATCCCCACTGGAGTCAATAGGGGTTTGGCACACCAACCTCCTTCTGTGGATCACAAACATTATTAATGGCATCTACAATGGTGACTCTTTTCCAGAAGGTTTTCAATTTTCTTTGCCCATCTCCATCAGAGGAATCACTGTCTATGGCAGCCATAACTTTACAAAATATATTTCTTAAGTAATAAGACTTGAAAGTCAAAATTATTCTTTGATCCAAGGGCTGCAAAAATGGATGTTGTGATGGCAGGCATGAAAACAACGTTAACCTCCTTGTGGCTGGGTATGGTGGTTCACACCTATAATCCCAGCACTTTGGGAGGCCAAGGCAAGTGAATCACTTCAGGTCAGGAGTTCAAGACCAGCCTGGCCAACATGGTGAAACTCTTTCTCCATTAAAAATACAAAAAGTTAGCCAAGTGTGGTGTGCACACCTATAATCCCAGCTACTTGGGAGGCTGAGGAAGGAGAATTGCTTGAACCCGGTAGGCAGAGGTTGCAATAAGCTGAGATCACTGCACTCCAGCCTGGGTGACACAGTGAGATTCTTAAAAAAAAAAAAAAAAAAAGAGACAGAGAGAAAACAACATTAACCTTCTTGTACATCTCTATGAGAGCTGTTGGGTGACTTGGTACATTGTCAATGAGCAGTAATATTTTGAAAGAAAACTTTTTTTCTGAGCAGTAGGTCTCAACAGTGGGCTTAAAATAGTCAGTATACCATGCTATAAACAGACACGCTGTCACCCAGGCTTTGTTGTTCTACTGAGAGAGCGCACAAAGAGTAGATTTAGCATAATTCTTAAGGGCCTTAGCATTTTCAGAATGGCAAATGAACACCGGCTTCAACTCCAAGTCAATGACTGCAATGACTCAGCTGCATTAACCCCTAACAAGAGATTCAACCTGTCCTTCGAAGCCAGGCACTGACTTTGGCTCTCTGGCTATCAACGTCCTAGATAGTGTCTTCTTTCAATAGAAGGCTGTTTTAACTCCATTGAAAATCTGTTATTTAGTGTAGTCACCTTCATCAATTACTTTGGCAAGGTCTTCTGGGTAACTTGCTGCAGCTTCCCCATCAGCACTTGCTGCTTCACCTTGTGCTTTTATGTTATGGAGACAGCTTCTTTCCTTGAACCTCATGACCATCTTCTGCTAGTTCCAAACTTTTTTTTCTGCAGCTCCCTCACCTCTCAGCCTTCATAAAATTGGAGAGAGTTAGGGGCCTTGTTCTGGATTAAGCTTTGGCTTAAGAGAATGTGCGGCTGGTTTGATCTTCTATCCAGACCACTCAGACCTTCTCCGTATCAGCATTCAGGCTGTTTCACTTTCTTATCATTTGTGTGTTCATCAGGGTAGCACTTTTTGCTTCCTTTAAGAACGTTTCCTCTGCATTCACATCTTGGCTGTTTGGCACAAGAGGCCTAGCTCTCAGCCTATCCAGGCTTTCAACATGCCTTCCCTCACTAGGCTTACTCATTTCTAGCTTTTGATTTAAAGTGAGAGACATGCAATTCTTCACTTTAGCACTTAGATTAGAGGCCATAAGGTTATGAGTTAACTTCATTTCAAAATTGTCATGTCTCAAAAATTAGGAAGGCCTGATGACAGGGAGAGAGACAGAAACTGATGGGTTGGTAGAGCAGTCAGCACACATACAATATTTGTTAAGTTTGCTATCATGCCCATGTTTGTGGGCATGGTTTGTAGCTTACCAAAATAATTACAATAGTAACATCAAAGATTACCCATCACAGACCACCATGAGATATAATAACAATGAAAAAGTTTGAAATATTGCAAGAATTCCCAATATACAACACAGAGATGCTGCTGGAAAAATTGTGCCAACAGACTTGCTTGATAAAGGGTTGCCACAAACCTTCAATTTAAAAAAAAAAAAGCAGTATCTGTGAAGCACAATAAAAGAAAGTATGTGCATACTACACTCTGTATAGGTGCTGGGGGCACAGTGTGAATCTGATAGACATAGTCATTGCTTTCTGGAAGCTTCGTCTAGTTGAGGAGACAAACACTAAACAATTCAGCAAACACTTAATACATAATTTGCCTGGAGTAAGAAAGGGCCCAGAATCTGAGACTAGCTTGGTCTGGGAACATCCTTAGGGACATGGCAATTTTCTGTGTGTGTGTTTGAGACAGGGTCTCACTCTGTTGCCCAGGCTATAGTGCTATGACCATGGTTCACTGCAGCCTTAACCTCCTTGGGCTCAGGTGATTCTCTCACCTCAGCCTCTGAAGTAGCTGAGATCACAGGCACACACCACCACACCTGGCTAATTTTTGTATTTTTTTGTAGAGATAGGATCTCTGTTGCCAGGGCTGTTCTTGAGCTCCTGGGCTTAAATCATCCTCCCACCTCAGCCTCCAAAGCACTGGGATTACAGGCATAAGCCACCAGGCCTAGCCAAGGAAATGACATTTAAACTAAAGGACAAGTAAGGTAGAGTGAAGTGGAGAGTGGAGAAGCAGCTGAAGTACATACCAGGTAGAAGAAAGAGCTCCAAGCGAGACAGTATCTACTCCACCAGGACACAGATCCACTGGCATATATATGTTCAAATCTAACAGCAAATAATATTGAATTTGGTGCTTTCTCTACCATAAGTGTTCATAGCACTTACTTCTGAGTGACTAGAGAGCAAAACATGACTACCACAGAGAAACAAGATGTATTGAAATAAAAGATGGCTAATCATATGCAGAATAAGAAGTCTTGGTGCTGAAAATCATCCTGCATAAAATACATTTGGCATCCCCAAATGTAAGCATCCATAATCTCAACCACTGGCAAAACCTGTCCACTAGACTAGGACACTGCCATCAAACGATTCACACACACATGCACATGAGCACACACACACACCCCAAATCAGAAGGAAAAAAAAAAAAACCCTTGCAAATAAAAAAAAATCCTTTGAATTGGTTTTTAAAATGGCAGAGGATCATTGCTATTGTTTCCTAATTAAGGTAGATCAGAGTTTTCTATTAATCCCAAGGAATAACAGGTACATTCCCTTAATTGTATTTAAAATAACAGGTAAGGTGATCTGACGTAATGGCAATTTATTTCCTTCATTTAACACAACAAAATTACAGGGTACTGCATGAGCAATCTACCTGGCAGCTAGGACTTTTGATCCACATGAACACAGGAGGATCCAGTCACATGTGCCTATGACGGGAAAGTGACTAAATGGCACAAGAAAGGAGGCAGCCTTCCTAGAAATTTTCACTCACAAGCAAGTGAAGGAAGGAAATTTGATTAGGGAAAATATCTCCATAAAAATAGACTGCTTAAGGTGCAGCACAGACAAGCATGATGGTCTTTCCACCAGGTTATTCTTCCAACAGTACATGTCAGTAGAAGCTACCAGAAAATGTGAGACATTTGGTTATATATTACCAGTATTATAGTTGTCACATAATGAGCTCCAATTATTTTCCAGAGAATAAGCTAAGTGCTTATGTATTCTCTCTAATACTCGCCATCACCTGTGAGCATGATTTAATTCATTTCATTTCACAGATGAGAATCTGAGGCTTAGAAAGGTTAAATATTAATAACAGTAATGTGCATATTTCCACACGTAGCACTTTTTCTATCACTTTTTTCTAAGCACTTTTTTTCACAGTCTCTCACACCAAATATAGCCTGGATTTCGAATAACTGTGGCAAACTTGGACCTGTGGCCACTCAAAACTAGTGAACGTGGTGAAACCTTTCTAGTATCCTGTTTTCCTGCTATGTAAACTGATATCCGCTGATAGTGGCTGGTTCTGAATTTCTATAGTTCTACATCGGGGCTCAGAGGTGACAACTGGTTTGAAGGGGGTAACTTAAAGCTACATTTTTACTTAGATCTTAAGCTACATTATTTGGGAAGTTTTTAAAAGAGGCTAATAGAGATTCCAACTCTCTTTCCTCCTGCCCAACTCCAAGACAACTCTTGGTAATGCACTCAACTACTGACATTGAAAGCAATTCTCTTAGGACTACAGAGGTGGCACCAGCCTCCGGACTGTTGTTCTCAATAATGGTATTAGAACAACAGGTTCTGCTGAATCTTGGTATTTTAATATCTTTTTACTACTTTATTAGGCCTACAACTTTAACTTAGAATAAATCTGGTCCCCAAAACCATATGTATTCGAGAGAAAGACTGTTAGCATATTTTTTCTTGGTCTATACTCCTGAACTTAATTTCCAATCTGGGATTGTAAATTATTTGGAATTTAGGAAGATTCTATGAGAATTTTCTTACTAACAAACCATTGCTGGACAGATAGCCTGAAAAACAGGACTTGCATTTTACAGTTGGCATAAATGTCAAATGATGCTCTGGTAAATATTTCACTGTCTTATGTCCATCTGTGACACACTTTGGGCCTCTGAGTCTGGGTCTGGGGTAAAATGGGGTATGACTTACCTTCTGAATTGGGAAACTAGAACATAAACTTAACATAACATATGGAAGGTGCAACATAAAGTGGGCTTTTCCTAAATGTCTAGATGACCTGAGAATTAAGATGGAGTCTCTTGATAAAATCACCTTCATTGCTGTTAAGTTTCTTTTTTTTTTTTTTTGAGATGGAGTTTCACTCTTGTTGTCCAGGCTGGAGTGCAATGGTATGATCTCGGCTCCCTGCAACCTCTGCCTCCCACGTTCAAACAATTCTCCTGCCTCAGCCTCCCAAGTAGCTGGAATTACAGGCATGTGCCACCATGCCCTGCTAATTTTGTGTTTTTAGTAAAGACAGGGTTTCTCTATGTTGGCCAGGCTGGTCTTGAACTCCCGCCTCAGGTAATCCGCCTGCCTTGGCCTCCCAAAGCGCTGAGATTACAGGCGTGAGCCACCATGCCTGGTCAATTGCTGTTAAGCTTCTACTAAGTGAAAAACATGGTCAAGGTGCCTGGAGCCACTTGGAGAATTTCTGTAACAATAAATTAAAGTTGCTCTTGGAGACACATAGATGTTAATGGAAATGGATATTCAATTCAAACTCAGACTACAATCTTCTAATAAATAATATCTAAGAGTTATCAGCGGGGAGACTCTAAGCAAATACTTAATTGTGTTTGGTTCCTGTGACTGAAGGAGTCAGCTCTTTAGCTCCATCAGTTTTAGCTCTGGAAACAGGCACACAATTTTTAAGTCTTTTAGTTTTATATAGCAAGTAAATTACATTTTATATTATACCTCACTATACAAAAACTTTGGTTATACACAGGTTAAATCATGTTCCTCTTGTACACAGTGACACATATGGTAATTACTACTTATATAACACAGAATGCCTGGGGAACAGTTGTATTCATTTATTCAAATAGTTATAGAGAATCCAATGAGTACAAGTCATACATTAGTTGATGTGATCTTTGCCCTATCCCCTATTATTTTTATATACTTTGAATAAAATATTACATTTAAGGTATCTTTAGCAAATAAAAGTTATGCCAATCAATTTGACTTCAAGATTTCCTCCTCATAATAAGGATCTTTGACACTGTTGTTCTAAAACATATTTTTGCCTCCCTAGCTGTTAAATTTAACAGCTGAAACCATTTACCTAGCCTTAAAATGGCACACATAAAGACACTGGGAAAAAAAATGGTGAAAGCTTACAGAACAAAAGAAGAAACAAGGACATGTATGAGAATGACTCTATAGAGGCATTCTCATTTCCTGTTCTAAGACTCCTCTTGGAAAACAAAAAGACCAATGACTTAGAAAAGGACATTGCAGTCGCTAGATCATCACCTATCCAACAGAAATATAAATGGTGAACATTAGATTATATTTCATTTGGAAACCTTAACTGGCAGAAATTTACCTTTACAGTGGAAAGGCCAAAAGAAGAGAAGTCACTGCAGGTTCCATAAATATACATTTTAGCAAAATGGGGGTGGGGGTACAGTTTCTCAGAACTGCTGTGTCTTGATTTCAAGGAGAAGTTGTATTTCTTTACAATTTAATCTATGATTAACTAACAAAAGGGACAGGAAGCATTATTAACCTTGATATTAACAAAGTGGTCAATTAATAGCACCTTCTAACTATATACCTTCGTTTTTCCACCAAAGGAAATTGAATAGCAAGACAGAAAACAACAAAACAGGGCTGGGTGCAGTGGCTCACTCATGTAATCCCAGCACTTTTTGATCCCCAGGTCAAATGTGGGGATCACTTAAGCCCAGGAGCTGGAGACTAGCCTAGGCAACAAAGCAAGACCCCACCCCTACAAATTAAAAGAAAAAAAAAAAGACAGCCAAATATGGTGGTGTGCACCTTTAGTTGCAAGCTACTTAGAAGGCTGAGGAGGGAGGATCACTTGAGCCCAGGAGTTCAAAGCTATAATGAGCCACGATCATATCACTGCACTTCAGCTTGGAAGACAGAGCAAGACCTTGCCTCAAAATAAAAAAAAAAAAAAAAAGAAGAAGAAGAAGAAAAAGAGAATCTCTGATATACCATTAGACAGATACAGTTTGGTAGAGAGCAGTATGATTGACATATCAAACACAGAATTGTCTCTTTCAAAGTAGTTACCTTGAAAGGGTAATTCTAATGCTATCAACATTTCTTAGAATTTCTATATTATGAAGACCTTCAGAGTCTGTGAACGTTATTTTAGGTGTTAAGTTTACCTTTGTTTCATAATGTTCCACGTACTCTGGAAGGTACAGGATATAAAGAGGAGTGAGTCCTGGCCCTTACAAAGCTTACAGTGTTGAGAAGGGCATGGAAGTGTTCATGGATAATTTCATTATGCTGAAGTAAGCATCAGGACTGAAGTAAGTACAGGACTTATAATGCCAAAGGACCACAGCGAGGGCTGCCCTTTGTGCTGGGAATGAGGAGGCTGGGAGCAAGAGAGGAGGTTTTCTGGAGATGGTACCCAAGGTGAGTCTGGAGAAGATGCCATGTGACCTGATTCTACGGAGCCTAAGTCAGAGTCACCCAAATGAGGAAGAAAGGCGAGGAAAATGGAGAGATGAGCATGAGCAGGACACACAGGCATGCAAGAGCACGACGGAAAAGACAAATGCAAGTACTTTGGTGCTGCTGGAGCACAAAGTGTGAAGAGTGGCAGGAAAGAAGATGGAGAGGGAA